AGGATTCTTTGATGAACAGAAAGTTCAAAAGAACAGTATTTATTTGAAACAGAAATCTTTTGTAACAGTATAAATGACTTTTCATCAGTTTAATGTGTCCTTGCTAAATAAAGGTATTAATATCTTTCAAACCCACAAACTTTTGGACAGTAGTGTATATGTAAGCATTTTGCAATTTTAGAAAAATAAAATGATTTACACACACACACATACAGCTGACAGCATGTGATAAATGTGTGTATGACTAACAGTCTCTGGTTTTACTTGTTTTGGCCGTTGCAACAAAACGACAGGTTAAAACAAGAGAATGAGGGGGGAGTATAGAATCATATGACACACACACACACACACACACACACACACACCAACCTCAGTTTCTTAACCAGTGAAACAAACTATGTTTGTTTGTCTTCAGACAGGCCACTGAGGCCAGAGGTTCTAATCTGCTGTTACCACTATTTTACACTTTCAAGATTGCATGCAAACACGTTAAAAACACTGACGCAATTGGAGATTTACTTATCAGGCCCTTTGTGGCTCCAGAGCAGACATTCTCAGGAACTGTACTGTGGTGATGAAGTTTCAGTCTCCTCCAGCAGGCGGTGACATTGTACAAACAAAATTCAATGTGTCCAACATGAATTTTTCCCGATTGCAAAACACAAAAACACGATTCATTGTTTACAAACAGTTCAGTTCATTTCCAGTATACTAGTTTATCCTAGTCTACCAGTTACAACGATTAATGTTACCTACTACAATAAACAGTAGCCTTCGTTGTCATAAAAAAAGTAAATAAAATTGCGTTAAATTCAAATATAGGAATTTTGGGATGAACAAATAGTTTGTACCTAAAATGATAATCATAATGTATAATTCTGACAAAGATGTGGGTATTATGACAAAGTGAAATAATACCACAAAAATGTCGGTATTCCCCAGATGCGTGTGAAAGTAACAGGGTGTGTCTCAATAATACTCTTATAAAATGACGATGCTTCGTTTGATTCCTCCTCTGTCCTACAGCCCGTGTCCCGATAATGCATCTAAGAGCTGCACTGCGAGAACGGAGGAAACTTCCAAAGGAGTCCGGAAAAGCGAGAATGTACTATAGACTGTATGGAATATACGTGTGTATCCTATGCGGAAGTCTTTTTTTTTTTTTTTTGGCCGAAGCACCTAACGCACACTTGCTTAAATATAAAAAATGTATCACTGAACAAATCATCGAATACATTTTTCTAGTGAAAGGGTTCAAAAGAGAATCACAGCGATGAAGCAAAATCCCAAACATTAGTACATTCTGTAGCTTTTCTAATTGGCAATCAAATTATAATCAATAAACATGATGAATTACAAAATACTGTAGGCTTTGTTGAACATATACAACATATAGGAAAAGAGAAAAAATAAAATAAATATGGAAATAGAAAAAGGAAAAAAAAATTGTATGAGATTTTCATAAACAAAGCTTCACATAGAGACATAGTACGTTTTGCTATTTTTTTAAACCAAGAAGTAACGCAATAATCTCTGCCACATAAGAAAGAATTTCTGTCATATACGAAAGAAATGACACGTATTAGAAATTCTGACATAAAAAAGAAATTACTAAATAATAAACATAATTATAAAAGTAAAAAATTATGACAAAGTCAAAGAGATAGTCAAAACTATGAGATAAAAGGTAATAATTATGAAATTAAAACTTTTGACTGTCATAATTATGACTTTCCTCATAATTTCGACTTTTTATATCTCATAATTATGACTTAGTATGTCATCATTTCGAATTTAACCTAATAAATATGACTTCGTATTTCAGATTTCCCCCCGCTTCTCCTCTGTAGGGTCGCGGGGATTTTTTGATTTGCCAAAGCTCCCCTTCTTTCTTTTTTATTTTTTTATTGCATATGAACATATATAACAGTAAGAGAAATACAACTTTGCATATAAATGCCATCAGTACACAAGACTACAAGTAAAATAAAAAATTAGCCAGAGGAAGAAAGAACACATAAAATAAATAAATAAAACAACTAAAATAATGAAGACGGTACAGTTGACTTGTCTATTTCAAATTTGCAGATAATGTTAGAAGTCCTGAGAGCTTTTCTTCGCTTCCCCTTCTTTCGCTCTTGTCGTTTGTCTTCGCGATGACGTCACGGCGGACACGCCCAGCCTCTTCCTCGCTGCTGTGAGTAAAGTCGGAAACACAAGTTCAACCGCATCTTTTATGTAACGTTAGCCGAATACCGTTACTCTGCTACCGAGCCAAAGCAAGGTAGCCAGACAGGAGAAACTGAAAACATGGCGAAAACGTACGATTATCTGTTCAAACTGCTGCTTATCGGAGACAGCGGGGTGGGCAAGACGTGCCTGCTATTTCGATTCAGTGAGGACGCGTTCAACACCACTTTCATCTCCACTATAGGTCAGTTCAACTCTTTGTTTGTATGCATGTGTACATTACAGGAATGCTTATTATGTAGTTCTGCGAGAGGAGAAATAAGCTGTTATAGCGATACATGGAGGTTTACATACATGTGACTATCTGTTGAAGTGACAGGAAGAGGCCGTGGAAGTGACAGCCCGTTCACTCGTCTGTTCATCGACATGCGTTTTATTAGCGTTTAAAATGACAAACGTTTAAAATGACCGATCTTGTCAGGATCACTTGATGTATGCTACTTTGAACTGTAATTTCAATGAGACGCGACAGCATGCTGTGTTTGTAGAGCTAGCATGGTTGCAATCTGATTAGCTGTGCGCTAGCGGTGTGGGCTGGACTGCACTTTCGTTTCTGTAGTTAAAGACACGTTTAGATTCACGTTTCACTACTAAACAAGGGTTCAAGAGTGCCAGAGTGAGCAGTTTAATTAGGTAAGATTAAAAAGCGGGTTGGGTGCTGTCACAAGTGACTTATCTCATCTACATCTGATTGCTTACAATATAGTGATGTTACATCAGTTCTTACGTACACTTTAACTTTAAAGTTGGCATGAAATTAAAATGTATTTCATGCTAACTTTATATTTTCTAAATTCATATTATAGATCTTATTTACAGACCTATAGTGTTATTCCAGAATATGAAACCATCAAAATCATAATGTACAGATACATAGATTTCACAAGATATTGTACAGATATACATGGACTAGGTCACCAGGCTAGTTTTTGACCACGTTACTACTTGTGATATTTTTGACACAACTTTAGGTAGGCCTGTCTCTACTGTGGTCCAACATGTCATTTCCTGTGCGAAACCTGTGCGAGAGTTCCTTGACCTTTTGTCATTGTTATGCCACAGACTTCCCCTATTGCCATGGACATTACTGCTTTGTCACTTCCCGTCCCATGTCCTGTCCGAGCTTTCACTGGTGGCAGGATTGAATGCCTCAATACACACTGTAAAGCAGTGGCATGCACAGGGCGGACGCTCTTTTGGTCCCCAATTTCTACCAAGGGGGACCCCTCGTCACGCCACTTCTCCCCTGCCCCTCTGGAGGTCTGTGCACGCCACTGCTGCCAAGTTTTCTCATAATTGACATAATCAGGGATTCTGTTCTGTTGCTACTGAATGCAACAGGTTTTTATACGCATGTGTTAAGCCTTTTGCACCACTGCAGCCATTTAGTCGGTCAGGCATATGTTACACCATTCTGACATTTTTCTACACATTCCATCTCCATGGTTACGCCATGAAATCGTGTTAATGTGTCAGTCCCCTTTCCAGCGGAAAGATTTGTGATGTGTTCTGAGACGAGTCAGTTTCACATTGTGTCATGATTAGGGTTGGGTATCGTTTGAATTTTATCGATTCCGATTCTGCTTATCGATTCATAGTTTCGATTCCAATAAGATAAAAAAATCCAATATAAAAAAAATTAAGTCAATCAGTAATTATGTCCCCACTGGATGCAACAAATGCCTCGCTTGTAATGGGTTTGAATGTTTTTGTGTCATCGCTCCGGCTGGGACACGCTATCACAGTATGGTGAGGGGCGTAACATTTCCGTCTCACGCTTGAGGTATTCGGCCAATCACAACGCTCTGGATAGCTGGCCAATCACAGCACACCTCGCTTTTTCAGACCGATGAGCTTTGTAAAAATCGACGCGTTTCAAAAAGGCGGGACATAGAGGAGAAACAATAATGTACAGTATGTGGAAAATAATGTGTTTTTTTTACTTTAAACCGCATAAACACATTTCATTACACCAAATACACCAAATAATGTTCTTTTTAGCAGCATCATATCACCCCTTTAATGACGGGCAGCGCGTTTATTAGGCTGCTGTCTCTTTAACACCGAACGCAAGCAGATCTAAAAATACTGTCCATGTGTGTTTTCTTTCTCATCTGTTTACCTTCACGTAAGACAAAAACGGCTGTGTTTATGATGATATACTGACGTAGTTTTCTGCATATTGGTCGACAAATATGAAAGAAGTCAGTTTCGGCCCGGAACAACCTTTTCTACAGTGGAAATACACGGAACGGTTCGAGAACGGACACAAACCGGGAACCCGTACCGCGACCTCTTGGAACCGGTTTTCGATACCCAACCCTAGTCATGATAGGACTGATTTCGGGTTGTCCAAACACTAGGTTTTGAGATGAAGTGTTTCACATCACTTGTTTCTAAACATTATTATTGCAGGAATTGACTTTAAAATCAGAACAATTGAGCTGGATGGGAAGAAGATCAAGCTTCAGATCTGGTGAGAGTATAAGTCTGCATTATACTGTAAAGCAGAGATGCCCAAACCAGAGAAAAGATTTGGCCACTGTGCCATATCACAAAAGGGGGGGAAATGTGCAATTGAAGCATATTTTAATTTCTAATTTATGATATTACTTTTGCATTTAAATAGATACAATATTATTGAATTTGATTTTAAACTTTTAATATAATATTGTTGGACATTATTCAACACTTACATTAGGCCCACAGCCCTCAGTCAAGTTAGATTTTTGGGCCTTTTATAGTAAAATGTTGGAGCATGTCTGGTATAAATTATAATCGTGTACAAACAATATTTAAAGTGTGTTTTAAATTTGTCATAAAGGGATACAGCCGGACAAGAGAGGTTCAGAACCATCACCACTGCTTATTATAGAGGAGCAATGGTAAGACATAATGTTTTATTCTTTTGTGTTAATAATGCTAGATATGCTTCTGCATATGGTTACTTTACATAGGCTATGCGTTTCTTTTCTGCTATTTTCACAGGGAATTATGCTGGTGTATGATATCACAAATGAGAAATCATTTGAGAACATCAAGAACTGGATCAGGAATATTGAGGAGGTGAGAAGTAGACCTAATGCTGGAGAAAATAAGCATTAAGTTTTGAAGCTTTTACATTTAAAGTGAGATTAATTGTCCCTCTGTCTGTTTTATCAGCATGCATCATCAGATGTGGAACGGATGATATTGGGTAACAAATGTGACATGAATGATAAGAGACAAGTTTCAAAAGAAAGAGGGGAAAAGGTATGTATCATTAAAATTAGTTTTTAAATGACTGAAATTACTGATAATCTATTTTATTAAACACGTCTTGGTCCAGAAACAAGCCAGAACAAGCTAGTATGTAAAAATGCTGATGTGTTTATTTAAACATTTCCCTTTTTTCTACAGCTAGCTATTGATTATGGAATCAAGTTCTTGGAAACCAGTGCAAAATCTAGCACAAATGTGGAAGAGGTGAGGGCAATTTTCTGGTTAAAATCAGTCTTTTTTTTGGAAAGTATTAATTATCTAATGTTGAACCATTTAAATACATTTTATTGAGCAAGATTTGCATTTTTTTATTGATCTAATCTAGTGTCATGTCTGTTTTCTTCAATGCTAGGGCTTTGTCACTCTTGCTAGAGACATCATGACAAGATTAAACCGAAAAATGGTGAGAATGTTCATGTTACGATCATGTCGAAAATGTTTATAATCTTATCCAAGAAAATTGTTAAGCTTAGTACTACTCACTAACTCAAATGAAATGTCTTTATTGTGGGATACTAACAGTCAAGTTATTAAAAAAAAAGTTTAAAATGTGGCTTTAAGTGTAACACTAATGCTAAATGGCTTCTTGTTTGCTTGCATCTTTGTGTTTAGAATGAGAATAACCCTTCAGGAGGAGGAGGAGCCGTGAAAATCACAGAGAGTCGATCCAAGAAGCCAAGCTTCTTCCGCTGCACTCTGCTCTAACCCGGCAACTTCTGCAGCCTCAGTGTGTGAATGATTAATTTCTCTATGTGTGTTTGAGCTCAGCGCGTGTGTGTTTGTGTGAGGGTTTACCGTACCACTGGACTTTCAGCTGTTAGCTGCTGCTGAGAGCTCTGGACTTTAGCCTGCCTCATCTATACGAATTGAAGGCCTGAAGATAGTGTGCTAGATAAAAACCAGTGCAAAATCTAGCACAAATGTGGAAGAGGTGAGGGCAATTTTCTGGTTAAAATCAGTCTTTTTTTTGGAAAGTATTAATTATCTAATGTTGAACCATTTAAATACATTTTATTGAGCAAGATTTGCATTTTTTTATTGATCTAATCTAGTGTCATGTCTGTTTTCTTCAATGCTAGGGCTTTGTCACTCTTGCTAGAGACATCATGACAAGATTAAACCGAAAAATGGTGAGAATGTTCATGTTACGATCATGTCGAAAATGTTTATAATCTTATCCAAGAAAATTGTTAAGCTTAGTACTACTCACTAACTAAAATGAAATGTCTTTATTGTGGGATACTAACAGTCAAGTTATTAAAAAAAAAAGTTTAAAATGTGGCTTTAAGTGTAACACTAATGCTAAATGGCTTCTTGTTTGCTTGCATCTTTGTGTTTAGAATGAGAATAACCCTTCAGGAGGAGGAGGAGCCGTGAAAATCACAGAGAGTCGATCCAAGAAGCCAAGCTTCTTCCGCTGCACTCTGCTCTAACCCGGCAACTTCTGCAGCCTCAGTGTGTGAATGATTAATTTCTCTATGTGTGTTTGAGCTCAGCGCGTGTGTGTTTGTGTGAGGGTTTACCGTACCACTGGACTTTCAGCTGTTAGCTGCTGCTGAGAGCTCTGGACTTTAGCCTGCCTCATCTATACGAATTGAAGGCCTGAAGATAGTGTGCTAGATAAAAGACACTTGAGCTGTTCCCAAAACATTCCTTTAAAACCAAAATATTCAACACTCTACCCATTAACCACCTGGATCAATCCCAATTTAGCGTAGCCTAATTAGAATTTTGAGAACCTTTTGTTATCTTCAAAATAATTAATTACATATAGTCAATTTATAGTCACGTTGATTTTAAAGGGTTTGTTAAAGCACCATTTAATGAAGGAAAATATATGAAGAGATTACAGTATATCGAACTCCTGCTATTATGCAGTTTTTGGCAATAAAGATTGTGGATGTAAAGTAGCGACTGAAGAACCTGATGGTTTGACAATCAAATATTGGTCAAACCGAAGGACATGCAATATATATATCATTTCTGTTACTGTTGAATGTTATGTTTTGTTATATTTAAAGTCACCATTTTATATGTTCTTAATTTTGTTTTTAGTTACTGTTCCAAAGCCGCAATAAACTAATAGAAAGCAATGTTCACAGATCTTAGTCTTCCCCCTTTCCCCGACTTTACCATATTAATCTTAATTTTAATAGAGACCAAAGTAAAAAGATATCGAAACTGTGATGGATTTTTTTGGTTGTAATCTCTCATATATTATATTGAGCATGAAAAAGAAAGACAGAAGAATAAAGAGAGGGCTAGGACCCGTTTCCTATTGCTTGTTGAAGCAGCAGCCAGCTAGGCCCTGTATATTAGTATATACAGTATTACATTTACTAACAGTATTATATTTTTATACTCCATTGACGTAAGCATCTTTTACTCACCACTGCATATGAAGCACCTAAAGCATGTTAACCTGTGCTTATTTGAGATTGATTTATGTGTTAATACTTATTTTTTTAAACTCATTTAAATGTCAGTATTCTGTATGTTGTTTTTTTTTTATTCACTCTTTTATAAGGCTCTTATGAGTGTGAAGTCATGTAGTGTTTACAGCACCACTGCAACAGTATTTTTTTTTTAAGTCGTGCGCTGTTATCTGTGTGTGTGGGTCTCTTGTAGAACCTCCTTACTTCATAAACCACTTAAAGTCCTGCTTGTGAAGTCAGCCACTTAAAAAAAAGAGTGCAAGATTGTAATAGCTTGAATGTGTTCAAGTGTCCTCTGAGCTTACTGGGCTATTACCAGACCCAATGGAATCTGCAGAATTTTATAGCTGATTTTGTGGGAAAAAATATGGAATTCTGCTGAATGGATTTAAACATGGTCAAATTTGTTAACCAGAGCTGAGAGCACTAAACTCTTATTACCTAAGTGCATGACAAATGTTCCAATTCTGTGTAAATCTGCAGATTTTTCAATTACAGATTCCATGGGCCTGTTATAAATTCAGAACACAAACTTCAAACTGAAACGGAGAATCAACCTAAATTAATTTAGCTAAGTTACTCAGAATGAATGAATGATTCTACTGTTTATGTTTAAGGGTGTACAGTTGAGTTCTATTGCCATTGTGCATCTGTTTGAAAGAATCCCTGCTCATTTTCGTGAGGTGTGCCATTTCCACTTAAAGTGACAGTTTACCCAGAAATGAAAATTAATTAACTCACCCTCAGGTCAGTCCAAACCTGGCTTTCTTTGTTCTGTGGAACATGAAAGGAAATATTTTTGAAATGAGCAATGTGTGTGTTTTTTTCCCATACGATGGAAAGTCAATGGTTTGGTTACCAGCAGTCTTATAAATATATTAATTTGTGTTTTGCAGAAAGTCATACAGGTTTGAAATGACATGAGGGTGAGCATATGATGACAGAATTTTCATTTTGGGTGAACTATCCCTTTAATGGCCCAGTAGTCATGTTTTCATTATGCATGCAGGTACATTTGCATATTTTTCAATGAAACAGAGACAGCACTCAGCCTCCCACATGAGCATAAAGTCTTACTGACCATTCAATGCAAGCTTTAATGTCCTATTTTATAACATGGCTTCCTTGATCCTTGTCTGTAATATGTCAGCGTTAACTGACTATGTAAAAAAGATTAAAATATCTTTTCTACGTTATTTACATGTGCCCGATTTATTTTTTATGATGCTTTACCATATGAAATAATAATATAATTGATATATTATAAGGTATTTGGAAAGATGTGAAGTTGTTGAATAATAAACAGCATAACTGAAGTTAAATTTCCCTTTATTTGGAAAAAATGGGATACTAAATATCTACAGCATAGAGGTAGACCCTGATTTCCCTTTTTGCATACCAGGCTTTATCATTAAAATTATGTACCTCATAAATATAAATGTACGAAAATATGCCTGCTATATGTCAATGCACAAGCATAACTAATGTTAGTTAGATGTGTTTTCCATATTGGAAGACAATGAAAATCAACTTTAAGTTAGCACTACTGCGATTATCTTGCCACGGCAGATACAATTCAAGCGTGAGTGCTCATGTCTGTGTGCCTGTCCTCTCTGGAGGGTCTGTAGTCATTGGTGTTGACTTCAAAGGCCCCAGCCAGGTCTTTCACACTACTGGCTGCTCGAGGTTTATCCAGGATGTTCCCTACGGCCTTCACCTTTCGTGGGTTAGTGTTCAGACTTTTAGATCTGAGTGAGGGATACATCCTGTCCTCTGCTACATACAAGTGATCTGAGTCCGTCAGCTCCTCTCGCTTCTCGTCTCCTCCCTTGCTATATGTCAATGCACAAGCATAACTAGTGTTAGTTAGATGTGTTTTCCATATTGGAAGACAATGAAAATCAACTTCTTTAAGTTAGCACTACTGCGATTATCTTGCCACGGCAGATACAATTCCAGCGTGAGTGCTCATGTCTGTGTGCCTGTCCTCTCTGGAGGGTCTGTAGTCATTGGTGTTGACTTCAAAGGCCCCAGCCAGGTCTTTCACACTACTGGCTGCTCGAGGTTTATCCAGGATGTTCCCTACGGCCTTCACCTTTCGTGGGTTAGTGTTCAGACTTTTAGATCTGAGTGAGGGATACATCCTGTCCTCTGCTACATACAAGTGATCTGAGTCCGTCAGCTCCTCTCGCTTCTCGTCTCCTCCCTCTGTTTTGACGCTTTTGCTATTTGCCACCATCTCATCCTCGTCTTTCTTCTTCTCCTCACTTTCCCCTTGTTGCGTTTTTGTCCTCTTGCTCTCCTTAGAATCTCCTTCTTCATCTTGGGCCTCTCTCTGTCTTGATTTCTCTAAAGAAAGTCCAAATGGGGAGGGATGAACTTTGTCATCGAAGCGTGGAGCCCAGCGACCTAACGCTGCCGATCTGCTTGCTTGATCCTGTAGGCCGTGGGGCTCCGAAGCCCACGTATTGCCAGGACTGCGCAACCTCGACTGCGCCATCGAGACGTACAAAGTACCACTTTGGGATCTGTTCTCGTATGAAAGTGAGTTACTTTGAGCTTCAGTTGGGTACTGCCTCAGGGATTGCGCCCTTTCCAGAGGATGTGAAACCACTATGTCTATTCCAGCTTCTAGCAGAGCTTGTGGGTCTTTAGGGTGCTGAGGGGAGATGAGTTTTGGGGACTGAGAGTTCTGGCCTCTCTCTTGTGACTCGCAAGGAGAGATGAGGATGTCCACACTGGAGCTGGAGCATGTCCTCTGCCGGAGGGGCACCACATTCAGCGTGGGACCATAGGAAGAAACTTGTTGTGGGCTTAGGAGGAGGACGCTGCTGCCAATACTGCTGCGTCTCTCTGCATGGCCCTTTCTGTCCCCTGACATCTCCTCACTGCGGTCCTCTGCATCCAGGTGCCAGCGGTACAAACTGTAGCCATCAGCGCTGTTGATGCTACCACGGCGAAGCAGGCCAGATTGGTCCACAGCCATTGAGCTCCCAGATCGAGCGCGGACCAGCTCGCAGCAGTCGATGCCAGCCAGCCGCTCCAGTGCATGCATCATGCGGCCGGAGAACTCCTCTAGCTGAGCCAAGCGCAGGTCTACTGTCTGCAGAGAGGCTTTCATGGAGTGCTCTCGTTCATTCACCTCCTCTAGGCGCATGGACATGTTCTCAACCCTGCGACAACAGTTGTTCCAAATGGTTGTTGTTTGTTTTAACCTCAGAAGTTATTCTAAATGTAGGGCTCAACAATAAGGATGGTCCACTGACCCAAAGCCAGTGTGCGAGAGTTTCCAACCAGATGACAGAAATGTCGCCAGCTTTTTCAGGCCAGTGATGCATGGCCTCGGAACTTTTTATATTCATCGATCCTGTGCATTCATTTTCTATGACTTTTAAACTTGAATGTTTGGTTTTCTGTGATGTATTCTACATTGTGGTTGCAGATTCTGCTAATTTGCCATCAAGACAATGTTATCTAGCAGGCTAACATAGATGTGGATTTGTTGAAAGTCTTGAAAGCATCAGTAAGGACCTGTTCACAAAGAACGCATTTTTTTGCATTCCACTGCATTCTTTTGCAGCGTCTCACACATGATGGCATTCTTAAAACGGCACCCGTGAGTTCAAAACATTTTTTTCCATTCTATTGCTTGAGTTTTTGGACCCCCCGAATGGAAAAAAACAACTCAAGATGTGTTTTTTTAAAATGTAGTCACACTTCAATTTTCATTACACTGACTTCCATTCTAACGCATGCGAATGCAGAAGACAGGAAATGCAAGCTCATTTGAATTTTGCTGCATTCCAATATTCAAATTTGGTTAACTCTAACCTGTGAATTCGTATCATGTCAAGACATGTGATCAATAGAAGATTGGTGTTTTTTTTAGTTGGATTAAACAATTCTAACTACAAATATGCAGAATTGGAGTGGAGTGGATTCCATTTTTTCCATTTTGAATGTATTATCTGTTGAAGTAAAAAACAAAACAAAACCACAGAGTCTGATGTCATATTGTGACCATTGCCGTGTCTGTAGAAATTTTGCATGACTTTGCTTCAATGCTGCATTTTTAGAGCACCACCATGAGTGAGATGCTTTAAAAGACAGCAGACGTGAGTGCAATGGAAATCCATATTTACCACATATTTACTTCAATGGTAATCAATTTGAAAGCAGCACAGTGGAATGCAAAAACACATTCTATTGAAAACTAGACAGTCAAGTTTTATCTTTTTGTGAATTTATGGAGTTACATTCAAAGAGAATTTTGCAGCTTGTTGCAAATGTTCTTTTTCTCTAAAAAGAAAACAATAAGTTCAAAAAAAATTTACATTTAATAAACAAAAATGCATTGCTAACTATAAAAATTGATCATTCAGAACCACAGAAGAAAATCCATATTGTTGAGCCCTGTAATGGCATTTGCAGTTGCCGTTTTTCATCCATTACCTCTGGGAAGTAATTCGGATTCGCTCATCGTTGGAAGACTGCGCCTCGTCCTCCTTCTCTCTGAAGTACTCCTCCACACACTGTTCCTCAAACTCATACAGATTCTTCAGTTCCTCTGGACTCAGAGTCAACTCTGAAAAAATAAAAAATATGTTTCAAAATAGGTTGCTATAACATTGATGTATTGAAGCAGTAAAAATGAGTAGCAGGAGTAATAACTCAGTCCGCGGTCTCTCTCATCCAGCTCCCCTTCCTGTTTCTTCCTGCAGCGACAGCACAGGCGCTTCAACACAATGTATATGTGGCTGAAGATGATAAGGGGCGGAGGAAGCACTGGTCTGTCGTGAAAAGTCATGATGAGCTGGTAGCGTTGGAACTTCCACACTTGGTTGGAGATAGATTTCACTTCAAAGAACGTGTTACTGTGAAAGAAATGAGTTCTCTCAGTGTTATACTGCTGAT